TGGCAAAAATTGACACTGTGAGTATTGTTCCTTCATCTGCATACATATGTTATTTGGTAAACACTTGCCCTGCACTTAAGCTTTCTGTTGAATACAGTGCTGCTTTTTGGAACCAGGCAACACCGTGAACATCAGATTCAACTGATTATTTTCTCTCAGCTTTCATCTTTTTTTAGTTTGAAGTCACACCAGGACCTGACCACAGCTACACCCTGCGACACAGTAACAGAATTCAAAAGACTCAGCACTATGTCAAGTCTTAAGTTTATGCATATGAATTTATACATTTATATTTGTCAGTCAGTGTGTAGCTCATAAATTATATATGGACTATTAACAGAGCAACACAGTTAAGCTTTGAATATATGCATGACTTAATGGTATTTAGGCAAATTGGTGTATGGAAAACATCATGAGATTCACTGTCTGCTGTGACAGTCACTTCTCATGTTACTTGGTGGAAGTTACACCAGAAACATTACATTTATGCTGAATGATATATGATAATATTGTTGATGCTGTTCCAACACAATAATTTGTTGTTTTTTTTTTTGCCATGTTTGCTTCACTTGCTTGTGATTTATATTATTTTTAAAAAGTACCCTGGCAGTCGTGGGATTTTTTTTAAAATTTTGCCTTTATTTTACTGTGAACACTTCAGTGAGATTAACTCTTTTACAACAGTACCCTGGTCAAGACAAACAGCGACATTAGAAAAAGGTGTTCATTTATACTTTGCATCCAAATGATTCTTCATGTATATACAGTACTTATTCTATATTTATTTTATTGTATATATCATATATTTTACAATATGTATATGCAGTACAGTATACACTATATACTAATAAACTGTGATATGTTTAAATAGTTGCTGTTTAGTGAAATGTAATCTGTATTATTAAACTTCTTTTGAAGGTTCACACTGTTCTTCTACACACTAAGCGTAAAACAGGTCTGTTTATTGATTTCAAATAAAGTTCATATTTTGGAGATTCGTTTTCTACATGACAATACAGTATAGTGATATATTTATAGTGAACATTTTGTAGTCAAACATTTCTGCAGAATGAATAAAGCTCTACAGTATATTTTCCTGTCTAAGCTCAAATAGCATATAGTGCATTGTAACTGTCCTTTTTCAACCTTTATTTCAGTGACTGCATTTGTACAAAGCAGGTGCATGTTGATATTCAGCCATTAATACACTGTTACACTGGAAACTACATGTGATCATTAAATATGACAACCAAATAAAAAAAGAAGCATTTCAGTTTTTGGAGCTGGGCATATTTATATCTCATTTCTGTGCTTGGTTAATAAATATAACTGTCACTTTCCTGTATCTTTCATTCAGTTAATCAGACTTCATTAAGTCGTCACTGTTACATGCACACAAGAAAATGGTTACTGGGAAACACTATTTTTAACCTGGTTTATGTAAAATCCATGTGCAAGTACAAGATTTCTCCTCTTCTTCTTACCTTATTTTGAATTATTTTATTATACAGGCATTTAATTGACAGAGAGGTTGCTTCCTTCTTTGCGCATATATACATATATGTACAGTATCTGAGCTTTAGCACTGAGCACAGTGTCGGAATCTTATAGTCAAATGCTGAAATGTCATAAGCAACTAATGTCAGTTTCAACTTTGGTCACATTTTGAATGAAATGATTGTTAAAACAAGAATGTGTACATTCATATTTCTTTTAATTCCGTCACTCTGCTGTATCAGTAATATTGTCCAACATCTATGTCATGCACTGGCTTCCGTAACCTCATTAATAACCTGGGTTTACATAATCAAAAATCTACTTTCTCTAGGAGAAATCTAGCTGTTGAAGTCAAGTTTTTCTAATCCCCTACCCCGAATACAGAAACCAGATTCCTTGTTGACATGAGGCTGGACAACTCTGCAGAAAGTAGACAGTAATGTAAATGCATGTAAACACCCTGACACACTAATGACCCAGGCCTGACCCCTGCTCAGGTGTTGTTTTGCTCGAAGGGAAGCCACTATCTCTGTGAACCATTTCCAGAAGTAATTTATTCCCTTGAGGGTTTTTTTTTACCAGTCACCAGGTTGTTTACTGCACCAAATGCAATGCCTCACACTACTATTGAATACTGAGTGTTTCATTCCTCTTAGAGCTTATTAATCACATTTGGTGTAGAACAGTGGCAGGTCAGTCCAATATAATACAGCTGCTGATAATAATAAACTGTTCTTATATAGTCGAGATGAAAGATATGTTGTTTTGTTTAGGGAAAAGTCCAAACACAGGAATGTTACAATAATAAAGAGCAAACTAAAACTGCCTATAGAGCAAGGCAGTCCCCCGTGACTGCTTCTCGCTCTGCTCTCACGGATTGTTTACTTGATGAAATATGCTGGTGGAATTACAGCGCTCCACATGCATTGTTCCAAGGTTGTTCACAAAGACTTCATTATACCTGTGCAGAGATTTACACAGATTTGAAAGCTTGTTAATGAATTTGTATTGTTGTTAGGAACAAACTTAACAATAACTGCTCTCCCTCATGATGTGGACCTGCTGCCAGGCAATAAGATGCACCAGGACCACTCGTCATGATCAGCTTTACTCTCCATTCACAGGCAACAATGGGACATCCAATGGACACAAGGACACGGACACAGCCAAGACCCAGAGGGTTCCTGATTGCAGATATTACCACTGTTTTCTGAGAAGTCAGTCAGGGGACAGTGTAGATGTTTGTTACCGATGGACAGGACTCAGCGTCGTCATGGGGACAAGGCTGTGGCTGATAATTGTGCGTGGGCCTTGGTGGTGACAAAGAAACACGGCCTTGGTAATGAGATTAATGATGATGTGTTAGGACTTGTTTCACCAAGGAGAGGATTATCTCCTAACAGCCCTCCTAAGGTGAAGGAGAGGACAATTACTCAGACACAGATTCATCAGGCCCATTCCCTATTCAGGCTGAGCTCAAAATGATGTTTCAGAGCTGGGTCAAGCCTCATTCCCACAGAAAAAAAAGCAATTTACTCAAAAACTCAGCAACAAGCATTAAGGAAGTCAAAGTCAATTGTTTTCAACCTGAGTGTGAGCGTTATGGTGCTGCAAAGTTCAGATCGACTCCTGATCAAACACCTCAGGGTGAATATAAATATGCTTCTTATAAGTGACCAACCAGAGTGAGTCGAGTTCTGGATAAGTTGTCTTGAACTATGCCCTTTCTGAACACAGGAAAAATATCCATTACAAATTGTTAGGTATTTTTAGTCAGATAGATATTGGTTAGATACTTTATGTATTAGAAATGTTTAGTGGAGATAGGATGTCTGGTTAGACTGCTTAAGTGATGCACCCCCTCTCTAGCAAAGCACAAAGATGCAGACTACATGCTCATGTGCTATCCATAGGAAATCCTATGCAGGGATCTAGAGTGCATCAAGAGGTGAATGATTTTTTTTATTTACTTTTGTAAACAAACATTATTTATTCCCTGATCGTCACACTGCAGCTGTAGCCTTAGCCCTGAACATATCAAAGACTACATCTCTTTCAGACAATATATCTTTTCAAGAGGGTGATCAGTCCTTCTGCAGACTGACATGACACTGGAATATTCTATTTATGTTTTTATTACTTTCTGGGCTACAGCTACAGCAGACTAACCAGCAGAACCTAAAAAGCTAAATACCATAAGTAACTTGTGACATATCACTTAACGAAGTTGATATGACTGATATGTTAACTTTTTATTTAATTTTCCACTTACCCATCCAGCAGACATGAAGTAACATTAGCATTCTTTTGGAGTTATCTGTCCACCAGATGGATGCACACTATATTCACTCTTTGATCACTAGCCACATTACATTGGCAAACATAGGAACAAAGGAATTTGAATCTTACTTGTGAGCTGTTCTATCTTTTTACCCAAATTTCACTCCCTATGTTCTAAATCTACTCCACTAAGAAAGAGAGAAAGAGAGAGAGAGGGAGAGCAACAGTGGCTGAGCGAGCTACTGTATAGAGTGAATGAAAAGAGCCTAGCAGTGCTAGCAAGTCAAAGCAGTGAACAAGAGAAATAAAATGTTATTTTCTGATTACTTTACACTGATTATGGTTTAAAGCACAAATAAACAGGGCCACACATCCGTACCGCCCTGCGGTTAGGATTTTATGTGAACTGAATCAAAGTGTATTCTTCTTCTTCTGTCTGCTCTGCTGTGGCCTCTGTTCTAAGCCCCACACTTCATCTAACAGACAGACACAGATCTGAAACTGGACACAATTCAGCACTTAATTACACCACACAGGTGTGTTTAAAAAAGGAAATATAGAGTCATTAGATCCCTTATTCCCATCACTATCATTCACCTGTGTTACTGTCTCCATAAACACCAGAAAAAGTATAAGCTGATAACATGTGAGAGTCTGTTCATCGGGTTGGCTACTTGCTAACGCTGTTGCTAGAACCTTCTTAGTTGACACCGGAGAGCAACTTACAACACAAGTTGAATATTGTCCCCTAGTTCTGTTCTATCTCCAGCAAACGTCAGAGAAAATATACTCTATGACTTCATCTGCTAGTTGCTAAATGTGTTCATCACTTTTTGTTTCTGAAATTAGCTGTGTGCTTTTCCAGAAACAAGTTTCACTGGAGTGAAGTCTATGGACCAGAAACGAAGTTAAAAGACGCTAAATGGCCCCATATGGCTTAGGGAAACTACAAAGTTGGGAGATTGCTCTCTGTGGGTTTGTCACTACAAACAAAATCTTTCACGTTATGTCGTGTCATCTGAGCCAATATAAATATTGGTAAGTGCAGCTTTAAACCCACATAAACAGCAATATATTTTTCGTGTCCAACAACTACAGCTTCAATGAGGCTTGGAGGGTGCATACAATGGAACTAAAGTGCTGTGGCAATTCATCTTTCTATTGCATTATAAATAGGCGGCAAATCACTTTTGCAGTCACACACAGACAAACGTTCCTTTATTGTGTATTTATGGACAGTTTGCACATTTATGATTTATCATTAGCAACAAAGATGATTCATCAACTGTAATAAAACCTCTCAAAATTGTATTATTTGGGAAACAAATGAGCATGAATAAGAAATGTGAATAAATCCAGTTAATTTTTTTCTTCCTTTCAGTGACTGAACTTGCTGTATACATTATAAATCAATTCATCTAGCAAAAACATATGCATAACATTATAAAATATGCGCTTTTTGAGATCAAGTCCAGTGTCTTTAAAAGCATCCTAAAGAGAAAAGAAATCTTTTGAAACCAGCAGTGAATTGCCACTATAATACATGTTCTAGAAATAGCATGAGATTCTTCTCTAATAAAAACTGACATCAACCATCTACTGTAGAGGAAAACCTACCGAGGTGCACAAGAAAAAGACATTCTCTTGATGGCACAGAGGGGGGTATAAATTAGGGCTGATTATGTACTTTTGAGAGTGTTTCTTTATAAACATTCTACTTACATGTTCTTCTTCATGTCTTCATCAGTGCCAAGGCAAACAGTGTAATCACATTTAATCTGAAGTAACACTTTATTTTACAGTCTGTGTAGCTTATATGTACTATATTCCCAGCATTCATAATAAAAATATGTTCAGATGTGTACTCTGGGGTACAGGATTATTGCATTTATTAGTAGTGCTGATGCTGATCCCAAATGTGAGGTCCACTGAATTAAACGAGCTTCTGTAGGAGTTTATTAAAAAAACACCCTTAAAATAACTGTGAGCTTTTAGGTGTAATCTTGTACAAAATGACCAGGTTTGGCAGTCATGGGTTGTTTTAGGAGAAACTGGGATATAAACTAATGGACCAGTGACAGCTGTTTTGGGCCTTAATGACGTTCACAACTGAAAACAAATTAGGCCAACACTGGGTGTTTAGCGGGACACTGGCAGGAGTTCACAATAACCGCTTCTTGTTTAATGTCGAAACTGAACTCAGCAGATATTCATCATGTGTTGGTTTCATTAATATTTTTTTCTCAAATGCATGACTGATTTTCTTTTTAATGATTTTTCACACATCAGTGACTGCGTAGCTTATTGGCACTCTCTGGTTGTGCACCTAGCTAAAACAATGGACAATGTAGTGGAAGCTAGTGTTAGCATCACTTAACATCAATAGCAGCTGCTTTGCATAAATAAGCCTATTAGCTAGCAAACAAAAACTAAATGTTAATGGATATTATGTTATGGCCATCATATATTTAAAATACATTTTCAATATGTGGGGTCTTCTAAATGAATAAAAAAATGGATTCAAATGTAATTCTGTGTCAAAACGTATTTGGTGAAAAGCATGTAGCCTGACATAATTTGAAAGGTATACACAGTAATATTTTAAGAGTAAGCCTGAAATAGATTTTTAAACCATTTCAAATATATTTGAACTATAAAACCGAAAAGTGACAAAATAATCCTAACTCTTTTTCATTCTAGAATTTTAAACCCCATTCCACTTTTTGTCACCAGCAAACTGCACCGGCAGTGAGTGAACCTTCAGTTAAAATCAATTTATCAAATGACTATTCCCAAAGTCAAGAAGACATCTTCACACTCAAACTGAAACAGATTTTCAATACTTGAAATGCATTTAAAATATATTTGTTCAATATTTAAACCTCATTTGAAATGTGTTTTAAATAACTGCACATTTGGAATACATTTGAAATAAGAGGAATAGCAGAAACCCCACAACACACTGAAAATGCATCAGATGAACATTATTTGAAATGGCCAGAATTATTATATAATCATATTTAAGCACATATTATATGTAATTTAAATATAACTGCTGTTTACTGTCAGAGCAAAGACAATTTGGGAAAAAAAAATCTCATCAGCAAATTATTGTATGTATCTAAAACACTAATGAATGTTAGCTATAACTTTTTCTTCTTGGGTTTTTACTGTGTTAATTATTTATGCAGTAAATCATTGTAATTCATTATCTAGCCAGCAGTGTGGCTCCAGTTGTGGCTGTGAAGCGATGTGAACTGCAATGCACCAACAACACAGAGAGATTGTAGAATAAAGTGCACAGTAACTGAATCACACACATCTTCCAAGTACAGTATTTGTGCGCCACGCAGCTTCAAGCTGGGCAGAGGGCTCTGACTCTCCTGGGGGCCATGCATCAAGGTTGGACGGTGAAGAAGTGCGCCTGTTGTTGGTACTGTATTATAGTAATAGCCTGGGGTGAAATAGGTCTTCTCCACCGTGGAGACGATCTGGCAACTCGGGTGAGCCCTGTCTCAGTTTTTGCCACTTATTCTGACTTGAGCCTCATTCTGGGACTCCTTCTCCTCAAGCTCTTACTGTGCTGCAGGAGAGGCTGGAAGTATCAGCGTAACATGTGAAGACACCCCCATCCCCACCCTCTACATCAATCCAAGTACCACTGCTATTTCCTGCTTCAGTAAATCATATTACTCTGATTACTGATACTGATAAAGTCATGATTGATAAATTATCTCCTCTTTGTAGACAATAAAATTAAAATCATTTGTGGTAATTAAGGCAGTCTTTCCATTTATAAACAAGACATTTAAACTCAGAAAATGTAATCGGATAGGAAAAAATGAAAGGTCGCACATGTCCAAAAGAAGTCATGTTGACTTGTTCCATAGTTAAAACCTTTCACATTTTGTTCTCCAGGAGGAAAAAGTCTTATAAAGTACCCAAACACATTTTTCATCCATCCATATATCTGATCATCTTGTTTCCCATGGAGTCCCCTGGACTTTATTGAAGCCTCGGTCTTTAGATTTCAGTAGAGAGAAACCTCAGCGTGGAGTTATACATGCACTGAAGGCACACTCTTGTTGAGGACCTGTGCCCTCATCAGCTGGACGCTGGTCATGATCTTCTTCTGGTGGCCCATAAGCGTCACTCCAAGCCTCTGGATGTCCCTGCATTCCACAGACACAAAATAGAAAAAAGCTTTAGTGATCCATGACAACCTTAATGCAGTTTCACATTCTTATTCTGGGTAAGAAAAATATATTGGATACATTCTAATTAGATCATTTCGAGTGCGTTCCCTTTTCAAGGTATATTTTATGATGGTTTCCCTCTTTTCTGATTTGCCCTTATTTGAATTTGTTATTAATGTTGTATTTTGTTAATACAAACTCACCATAACAGTGTCATCTTGATAAATTCAGGATAATGTATGTATCCTCAGCAAGCAGCATATCAACAGTTTGCTTTTTGCCTATTTTCTTGTTGTTCTTTCAAGCACTGACACTTCCTGGGGCTTTTCTGTTTTGCTTGTTTTATTTTGTCTTTAGTAGGCATCTTACAGAACAGATACACAGTAGACAGGAACTGAGGGGAGAGAGAAAGGCATAGGACAACAAAGATTCCTGTCCACAACTGAACCTACATGCTGTGCAACCACCCCTCCTCCACAGATACAGTAGTTAACATTAAAAGGTTTCCAGTGGCTCAGTGAGCATAATCCCCCTTTAATGTGAACTACATCGCTGCAGGAAGTGTTGAGCTTCAGTGAAGGCAGCTTAACATTGAAAGAAGGGCAAGCAGAAGTGACCGGAGTTAATAAATAAATGTGAGCAATATTTCAATTAAAAGAGAAGCTCAGAGGGAGATTACTGTACATGATGTTTCTGTTATTTGATGCTGTTAATTGGATGCATGTTTGTATTTGAGAATTTTAGGGTATGAGCTAACCACATCTTCAGTCAAGAATGATCTGTCTCAGCATCCAAATGACACAACTCACAATGTGGTGCATGAGGATCAACATGACTAACTTTTTTTATTGTAGGAGAGATGTGGCCGGATGATGTGATGATAGTTGTGAAGGATGCACTTGAAGGCTCACTGAAACAGAAATAACCCTTTCTATAAATTCCTCGGCCTGGCCTCAAATGTAAAGGTAATGTAGCAGGCTTTACTGACTGAGCTCAGTGGAATTTTAAACTTTTGAAAGTGCTCTGGAGGTGGTAGGTAATAAAACAAATGAGTGGTACAGACCCCTGAGAGTGGTCAAACTGATTTCTCTACCTACTTGATGAGATTTACTGGCTGGAGCTAAAACTTGTGTCAGTCAAACTGTAGTCTTTAAGCAACATACATCAGCTGGTAGAGCACGGCAACTAATTGCTGCCAGCAGCTAACAGCTCACCATCACCTTCCCATCACAGACAGTACATACCCTTGATTCATGCCTATGACGTGTCCCACTGTGTGGTACCCCCCTGCTGCAAAGTGGGGCTTGTAGCGGCTCATCTTTATGGTGTCCAGCCACTCGTCTACTGAGTTACAGCTGCTGAAGTCGGGCAGAGCTTTCGCCATCAGTGGAGGGCTGTTTAAACTGCTGCAGAGAGAGAGAGACAGATGGCCGTACATAGACAGGGAGAGGAAGATGAATGGGAAGACAAAAAGATTAGTTGGAGGGAGTCCGACAACCTGAAAAGAGTCAAAAGGGGAGCAAGAGGGAGAGCGACTTGGGGAACAGGGGCTTTGAAATGCACTAGTAACTGAGACAGAAAATCAATAGCAGTTAAAATGATAGAAAAGAGGTGGCGGCTGTGGTTGCAGGATGGCTGCTTTGGGTAAATGAATACAAGGAGAAATCCTTAACACTTCTCCTATTTCTCTGGTTCTTCCTCTACCTACCATTTCTTTCACCTCACACATACAGATGCACTGTGCCATGCATCACTGACTCCGTAGAAACTGGGATCTGAACTGAGCAATTTACACAGGTCCAGCTTCAGCCCGGGTGTCCTCTCAAACCTGCTCCCACATTCACTGTGGATCAATGTCAATATCACAGCGAGGCTTTTACTTAACGCACAGTGCGTCTATCAGAGATGAGCTTATTGGAAAACGAACACGACCGCTTGCTTCATCTGCCAGATAACTTTGAGGGAAACTTTAGGCTGCAACTTTATCTCACTGCGCTCATGTTGGATAGCAGCGGGATGAGATTGGATTTGCGCTGCCTTCCACACCAGGACAGTTACTTAGTAGTCTAACAGTCTGCCTCTATATATTGTCCAGGACATCATCTTCCCAGCCCCTTGCAGGTGGTGTCTTACTTTGATTTGCAGCTTAATCCTCTAATCACATAAACCAATATTTGATTAAATGCTGGCAAACTGTCTGGCTAAATTAAATCAAAAAACTACTCAGCATGTGACACAGTGCACCCATGTAGCTTTGCCACAAATATGAATCTATTCAGTGGTCCACCAACCTGCAGAGCGTGTCCAATGACTTCAGGTTCTCTGGGTTGCGGATTAGCTTGTCAAGAACAGTGACTATCTGGCAAAAGCGTGGTCTCTCGTTGCGATCCTTCTGCCAGCAGTCCAGCATGAGTGTGTGCAGAGCAGCAGGGCAGCCCATAGGAGCAGGCAGCCTGTAGCCCTCTTCCACAGACTTAATCACCTGCACATACACAGCAAAATATGGACTCCAGTGTCTGCTGTGAGAATCTATCACAGGTTAGTTATGGTCAACACATAGTGCTTACATCTCTGTTGGTGAGGTTCCAGTACGGACGCTCTCCATAGGACATCACCTCCCACATGACCACGCCGTAGCTCCACACGTCACTGGAGGAGGAGAACTTCCGGTAAGCGATGGCCTCCGGGGCCGTCCAACGGATTGGGATTTTCCCACCCTGCCAGCAACGTAAAGAAGTTCATCTAGGATGTATCAGATTTGCTGAGACGTGCGGAAGACATTTTTCTTATTGTCAGCAACTCTTGTGAAAACACTATAGCCAACAATAAATGTATGACACCAACAAGTACTGTGTGTGTATCCAAAGTCTGACATATGTAGAGCTCAACAACACATTTCATTTCAAGACAGACTCGTGTGTGTCTGTCGACAAACAGGCTCTGAAGCTGTTTAGACAATTAAATGCAGTGAGGAAGGAAGTATTCAGATCCTTTACTTAGGTAAATGTAGTAAAGATGTACTACATTGTAAAAATATTCAATTACAAGTACACAAGTATTATCAGCAAATAATTCAAACAAAAGTGTTAATACAAAAAAGCCCCATTCATACTGTTACTGCTATGTTACTAAGTAGAGTATAATATATATAGTATTTTAACTCCTTTATGTACTACTGAGTTACTTAATCTGTAATAATTTATTTTATTTTATAAGCTTGCCTTAATTATAAAATATCATGTAAAAGCAGTAAAATAAATGTACTATTTCCTTTTGAAAATGTAGAAATATAAATAAAAACTGGCATAAAATGCTAATTGTTAAGTAAACCAAAGTACAGTACTTGAGTAAATGTATTTAGTTACTATCCACCACAGTAAATGTTCATGAAAGCAGAAAGTTAAATGACACATTAAAGACTATAGCAAGCCTGTGTAGATATGTAGTCAGGACAAGAATAGACCTGCAGATGTTAGCAAGTATGTGAACTACTTACATTACTCTTGATATAAAACTGACACTTAATTAGGTTGACAAATGATGCATCACTTCTTACACAAACAAAGCGCTCCCTGTGGGTTATTTTAAACATTTGAAGGTTGCTCTCCAAATGTTTCCCATTACAGATACTTGATGACCTGTTAAACATTTAAAACCAGCAACATGACTCAGTGAAAGTCGCTAACCTTAACTCCTGATCTCAGTATTTCCAGGTTCTTCAAAGTGACTTTGCTGCCATGTGGATTTCATGTACAACAAGCAGCTTTGTTCACTTGACTCAAATTGCCAGGCAATAATGTGAACTGTATTAATCTTAAGCTGTTAGCAACAAATATGTTAAGATGTGTTATAATGGCACTATAATGTGTGTATTACCAGAACCTTTGATTTATTTCCACTTCAGACTGTCTCTGATGCTGTACATTGCTTGCTTTCTGTATTTGTGCTTTAACAAACTGTAACAGACAAGTGTGTCAACTGCTGATCTGCATCTGCGCACTGTGGGCTGATAGCATCAAACTCTGCCTCTTTTAAAGTTAAAACTTAATATGTTTGTCCCCATCAGGCTGCAGGTTTAATACTGGACTGCTCTCTATTGGAGCTCTGACATGATGATTTTACTTTGCTTTTAGAATCCTGTGATTTCTAATTGTTTTTATATTGCTTTTGAACAGTTGCATTTGACTCATGTTTGTCTTGATGCTACTTTCTTGGCCATATCTCAGTGGGAATACAAAATTCATTTTTACTTGCCAGTTTAATTCACAAAATACAAACATGTATTTGCTCAAACAAAATGATCTAATGACTGTGATGACATTCAGCATGCACAAAACAGAACCAGTCAATTTAAACATTTTATTTTTTGTCCTTTTTGGTATCTTTTCAATTTATTGTAAAGATCTTAAAGGATTTGTGGGTTCAAAGTTCACTATGACTAGTGAAGTGTCAAAGATGGAATTCTGATGAAGTCATATGATAAAGTCCAGTTTGCTGCTGTGATACTCAGTCTCTGAAAACAGCTGCTTTGTGTGTTCTATAGCCCCAAATGTGCTTTGTCAAGATAAATGAAATGCCAAGATGGGATTTTTTACCATGGATGCACCAATCAGAGCAGTGAACCAATTCTGACTCAGATACTGATCACACTGAGCTGCTTGTATATCACATCCTGTTTCACAATAAAGGCATTTATTATGAAAGCGGAAGCAGTGTCAGTGATTGGCTAACATTACCAACAACTGAGCAATCTAGTATTTCAAAAAGGACATTTAAATTGTCTTTTGCAAGGTTTTTTTTTTAATCATAAGGCTATAATACATGTTTATCAAAGCTCAAAAGAAGAGTGGGCAGAAAACAACTGCAGAAATTACATATTATTAAGAACTAACTTTGAGCAATAGCAGCAAAAACACACAACGAATGACCTCTTTAAAGTTAGTTTAACATTTTAAAGAAGAAATATAAGGTAAAATGTGCAATAATGATAACAATGTAATCTCATAAACAGTCTCAAACACTTTAATTAAAGGTGCACTCCATGAATGAGCTCTGTACTTCCATAAAATATGAGGACTCACAAAAAGCAGCAGAAGATATACTAACTTTTAGCCCAAAGTATGGGTAAAGCTACAAAAATGCAGGATCCTGCATTTCAAGCAACTTAATAGCATATTTTATTAGACCCCCCACCCCGGCCTTATGAATATCTATATATTCCAGAGCTTACATTTTCAGTTTGTCTCAATTCTCCAAACGGAGAGAACCCTGCTGACCCAGAGACAATATAAAAGTGTTCCCACAGGGTGAGATGCACTAAACTGAATTACATGTATATAATGGTGAAGTGTCCTTTTAAATTTTGGTGAAAATAGAGCACAGTGTCAGATAGATACTCTGTATTTTCAGCTACCCTAAATTTAGATATCTAAGTCAGTGATCAAAGAGAAAAAGTCTGCATACTCTGTATATCTTAATGCATAGCATCAAGACAAAGTGCATCCATCTGACCAATTGCTACTGTTGTGTTGTGGGGAATGTAGGATGCAGGGATTAGGAGTGGCTTCAGCTTTTACTGAAGTCTCCTGTGAGCCCCTCAGCACTATGGAAGTATATACAGTAACAGTAATCACAGGAGGACCCCTTTAAACAAGCGTAACTCTACCTTGCTCAATGGAATTCATTGTAACCATTCCTATGTAAGTTAATACAGGGCCTTAACTGTAACTTTAACATAATTTACTGTAAATAAAGATGTTCATGCACTTCTTTTTAGAATAGAGCCTATTTGAGATAATATTTTATTTGTCCTATTACATGTAATTACCTTTCCTAGACACTGACTGCGTGTTTTAGGGAAGTATGCATGTGTCTGGTTGTGTCTGTGTTATTGCGTTAATGCTTGCCTCGATGTGAAAACTCACACTGGTGGTGTATGCAGCATCTGGGTCATCCTCCAGTACTCGAGACAGGCCGAAGTCAGACACCTTACACACCAGGTTGCTGTTGACCAGGATGTTGCGGGCAGCCAGGTCTCTGTGGATGTAGCCCAGGTCAGACAGGTAGGTCATACCAGCTGCAATGCCACGCAGCAACCCCACCAGCTGGATGATGGTAAACTGGCCATCATGTCTCTACAGGAAAGCAAAAGAAATAAAAAGAGAGAGAAAGAAAGATCACCCAGGAAGTGGCAGAGAGTTTTAACAGCAGATAAAATTAAAAAGAGAAAAATGTGATGATATAGCAGCAAAAAAGATGAAGACTGATAATAGCGGAGATTTTAATCAAGATAGAGAAGAGAGTAAAGATAAGACATGACAAGGATTTGATTTTAAGTATTAATCTGTTGTATTTTCATATAAGCAAATACTGGAGCTGTTTGACATCGTCAGTGTAATATAATGTTAAGTCAACCTACAGTGTGTCCTAGTAAGGAAAACTTTCACAGCTGATGCTTTAAGCCACTGGTGCCTGATAAAGTTTTCAGTTCTATAATACAAAGGAAGTAATGTGATGTGAAGTGATGAAGTTGGAGATTTTTATATTATCACACAAGTTATTAGAATGCCGTTCCCCTTAATGTGTTAGGAAAATGCTGCGTAAAACCTCTCAGGCTCTTACAACCTTTTGAAAATCCCCTGGAGTATTAGAACAGATGCACTAAGCGTAAACCATAGGTTTCTGTAAAGTTGCTGAGAAGCTAATAGGCTAATAGTCCTGTGAAACATTGTTTTCCCTGGACAGGGACAATGAACAGTGTCATGGCTGAACTGACAAAGGAAGGATCAGGTCATTTACTGATTAAAAAAGAGTAATGACTAATGTCTACACAATTGGATGGACAACTGATCTTGGAGATGTACAGTAAAGCAAAAAAAAAAAAAAAAAAAAAGAGCAGCTACTATAGTTAGTACCACAGACTGACACAAAATTAGAAGCATAACAAAAGCATTTGCAGCTTATAGGTTCAATACCAACCCTGAGGAAGGAGTCCAGAGATCCATTCTCCATGTACTCTGTGATAATCATCACTGGTTTGCCTGGAGAAAAAAAAATGTACCAAAACATCTGAATATTTACAGCATATAAACTACTTATTTACATGCATGTGTGGCTCTGATTTGCTCTCAGTTGCATATGCATATGTCTAAGAAACCTATGTTGTATTTAATCAAGGGGTGGTGCCCAGGTAGGGCCATTCTGAGATTTTGGTTTTGGGTCTTACCAACAGAAGTTCTTGAATTTTGTTGTGTCTCCATTGAGACATTTTCATTGGTATCTTCACTGAATGTTTTTCTTCATCATTGAATGTTTGTGTTCTTCCAATTTCATGCAAGTCACATGACAGAATGCCATTAACACGCCCATCAACTAAATGTGAATTCTCCGGACACTAAGCCGCTCTGTTCATACATGGGCTAACTTGGATATTACACAGACTTTGCACTAGGGAGCCAGCAGGCTAAGGTCCACTTAATGTCCAGTCCAACTGATTTGGGACATTTGTGTTCATACATGCAGCTCCTCTGGGTAATATCTAGATAATTTGAGGGTTGCAGTGTATGTCTGATGATACATAATATCTTTATGATTTGACATGCTCCTTTAAAGTACCTCGTTTGATCTTGATAAACATGAAGCCCGGATGCACCCTGTTAATACTTTTACAGTAAGGGGTGGTGTAATTATTACAAATATACACTCCCTAGTTGATATTGCTTTACTCTTTAACATTTACCCTACCAGAATATCTCAAAATAATTGTGGGTTTACTTTAAAGCCTATGCTTTTCCTTGTTTTCTGGCTTATCTACAATGTTACAATGGTGAATTATCACCTTAGAGGTGAACTAAAAAAAAAAAAAAACAGGTGAACACATGTTCTAGTATTAGTACACCAAAGGGAAACAAGAACAAGTCTACACACAGATAAACCTTGCAATGCTGTCACCCTGTTCTCAGTCTATATGCTAAGATAATCTAGCAGACTGCTGGTTTTAGTCATGTATTTTTCTGACAGGCATAAAAGTGGTATTAATCTAACTCCTGGCACCAAAGTAAATACTGTATGTGTATTCCCACAGTGTGGAACTGTTCCTTTAACATTTCAGATGCCCTGTTATTACAGTTACTTTACAATCAGTAGTGCTTTACACTGACATATTAATGGCAGCGTACTCTGGGTTACCACTCCCTCCAGACGGATGACGTTGGGGTGGTCAAACTGGGCCATGATGGATGCTTCTGCCAAGAAGTCCTTCTTCTGTTTCTCTGTGTATCCTGCCTTTAGGGTCTTCAGGGCGACTGGGATGTCTCTCTTTCCTGGGAGCCTCATACGGCCGTAACACACCTCCCCAAACTCCCCTAAACACAAGAGCAGGCCAGTTCAGTACTTTACATTCAACCTTTATTCACCTGTACTAAACATGCACTGTGTTTAGTTGCACCCCTACACCCTCTTAAGTCATAATGGCAAATATGATGTGTGTTAAGTTAATCTGCTGGGTTAGATAACAGAAACAAAACCACTTACAGGCTCCCTGTCTACATGCGGTATACTGTATGTGCAAAACCTGAAGTCCATCAACTTAGCTGCTTTTTGTCTTCTGCAGTTCTATACTTTATATTGCTTTATGTCCACAGGGGTCATGCACACACAGTGTATTGTGGAGCTGACACAGTGTTAGTATTCCCTGCCTGTCTGAGGAGCTTTGACTGACAGCCCCACGCAATGCTCTGATTCCGCTGTGCCATCCTCCTCTCTGCTGCACACCACAGCCTTTACACCGGCCAATGATTTTAAGTTAGCTCAGCCAATGATTCTCAATGTGTGTGTGGGTGTGTGTGTGTCTGTTTGTGTTTGTGTGCGAGAAAGCACACAAGTTCATGGTTTTTACCTGAACCAATGATTTTCTCTATTTTGATCCTGGAAGCTTCAATTTCTCGGGCAAACTCGTGGACTGCCTGGCAGGGGTCCTCGTATGTGTGCGGGTCGATATAGAACCTCGTGTCAGGGAATGACACTAAGATAAACAACATTAGCATTTGGTCACATATCGGAGAATGAGAGCAGCATCACATCTGAGCCCCTGTCACTGGTGTGTGGAGGAAAACTTGATGAAAGGGTGGAAATGACTCAGAGAAAGGAGCAGACAGAGAGAGGGAGAGAATGAACAGCATGCAGGGAATAAGGCCTGTGTGCTCCTGTAATCACGCCAAGCGTGATGAAAATTGTTTGCTCTAAGGATGAACTTTATTACATGGGGATGAAAACGTGGCCTCTTCAAGGAATCTATTACTGGCAATAATTGAGGAATGGGCCAAACATACCGTGACCGTTCTGGTAATGCATCTTCTCCTCATCAGAGTCCTGGAAGGCTTTGCTGTAGCCACAGTGTCTATACAAACCACACACATGCACAAACAAAGGCAGCCATCCAAACACACACACACACACACACACACATATAAACATACAGTGGGATGAATACAAAACAATAGTGAAACATTTTACTATCTAACCACAGCTTGTAATTAATAAATCAACAACTGTTCAAAAAAGTTATTAATTTGAACAGAACTTAGTGATGTAAGTCAACCTGTTCCCCCTGATATTAATACAGTTTTCCAGCGGGCCACAAGGTGGAGCGGGAAAAAGATCAGCCAACATAAATTAACTTAAGGGGTCAGTACACTGACATTACCAGAAAAGACTGGCCTCTACTGGTGTCAAACCACACAGGTAGCATTTTTGCAGCCATACCAATAAAATGGAGGTGCATTTGGAATTAATTTTCACACCACAAAAAATATAAGAGAAAATACAGTATATATACATGACAGTAAGTCACTAAGAGGCAGACAGGAAACAGGGAGACCCACAACATAAGTCAACGGTCTGACTTGATCCGATGATGTTGCGTACACACTGTGTCAGGTACATGGTGCACTGCACCATATGCACCCAGGTATCAGGACACCCCATACGTCCATGTTTTCAAGTGAAATTATCATGAATATTCATGCTAACAGACACATAGGACATTTAAGGGAAAAAGAAAACATTTGTAATGTAATACCTTGTTTACACATACAGGTGACTTTTGCCCCTCATGGTCACTAGGTTTTGGGCATGTTTTGCATTGGGCAAATAATTTACACACTCTTCTTCAACAGGGAATATGTTTCTGGACCTTGCCACTACACTGATGAGGTGGTTCATTCCTTCTGGGTTTTAATTTAAATACTGAAAAGCTCCTGTGTTTACTATATGTTGAAAGTGTACAACAATGATGGACAATTTGCATAATTGATTTGGCACTGCAGTCCTGTATGCACTCACATCATTCCCTGTACTAGCATTATTTGATATGGGCAGTGCTGGGGGTGTGTAGTTTCCACACATACAGACTCAAACCCTGGGAGAGTGATGGCTGCTATTCATTGTGAATGGGACCTGGCATTGCAGCCCGCTGAGCTGCAGAGATATAAAAGACATGCGGCAGCACTATAGGGGTTCAGTAAAGCTCTGCTTTATGCAAATGTCCTGTAATGCAATGTAAGTGACAACCAGGTGAGAACCAATCACACTTGCTTTAATACCTGCAAAAACACAAGCACAGAGTTGTTCATTTCCCCTTCCAGCATAGAAGTAGGACTGCTATGGTGATTAGTCTTGCCAGCTCAGACGCCACTGTTGTATTAAAACACTTTTAAAGTATGTACTACATTTAAAACAAAAAAAGCTATTCTGGATTTGGGAAACATGCTGCAGGCTACAACAACAAATAATCAGCACTGTTTTGTTTAATTTAACAGCTACGTCAGAACATAGTTGGAGCAGAGTGTGTTAATTACGTGCTCAGCACAACATGTGCACATCTTCATGAAAGGCCAGAGACTGCCTACTCCTTTGAACACTGCATGAAGCTTGTAGCTAGTAGCTAGAAGGTACTCTTCTTTGGAAGTAGTTAAGTGTTTGTTGACAGTAGCAAGCTACAGGCTACTACAAGCTAGTGAAAAAGGGGAAAGAATCCAAATGAGCATTCTTGGCTTCAGACATCCCCTTGTGTGCAAGGAGCTATTGGTGTCCTCTCATAAGCTTGACAGTAGGTTGGCTGGTGACACATCTTCATTTCTTTTATATTTTAAATTAACATTTTAAATTCTGAACTATACTGTTAATTAAGTTTTTTCCTCTTCCATATTAGTGGCATGAATATAGTCATGAAAGTATGATTTTGCATTGATAAAATCTTTAAACTCTCCAAGTTTTTTCATCCTGAAATACATAGAATCCAAATGAAAAACTGGATAAGAATTGATTTATAAAAGATTTAGGGGCAATAAAATGTATGGTGCATGCTACATAAATCTACATTAAAAAAAGAACAAGGCAGGGCTTATGGGATAAGTGGGAAAATCTGTCCTGCAAGCTACTGTACATGAATCAACATAAACCCACCATGAGGTAAAAATTATGAATTAGGAAATTAGCTAAGAGTGAGACGACAGGGAGAACAGAGGAGGCAAACTAAAGCATTACCTTTCTCTTAGTACTGATAGAAGAGAATGCAGATTATCTTTGTGTTTCAACACTGAACATTTCCACATGATGGTGGGAACTAAAGGTATTTTAGCTTCTCAAACATACGCTTAAATGAGATCCCATTGTTGGAGGACATTTTAAGGGTCTATTCTAAGAGAGCTTCACACAGATGACAATCATTTCACTTTTACATACTACATATGGCAAAAGCAGGGGGAAATATAGGGCACACAGGAATTTGATCACAAGCAACATTACACAGTAGAGTAGTGTAAGAAAAGTGTTCCACACACAGCAGCGATGGGTAGTGTGGTAAAGTGTAGCCTTGCCGTTTCCTGCAGATGATGATGGCCAGAAAGGTGACCAGGCCAGTCACCAGGGCCATGCAGATCCAGACGATGCTCATGGTGTTGTAGCGCAGAGGAGCTGCAGACACACACAAACACTGTGTCAGCTGAAGAAAAGGTGCCACTGACAGTCGAGAATTTGTAATTTACACTAACACACACACACTGGCAAACACAGGCGCCACGCTGAATGTCCTTGGTTATCTGAAGTCCTTGGAATCTGAAGCTTCATTAAAAAGCTCTGTATTTTCTAATTACCATGTGTCTGCATTTAGAGAGTTTGGCCATGTCATTACAGGATGGATATTTTTAGCTAATGTTGTCATCTATTTTCAAAGATTGAATGTTGTCCCAGACTTGCAAGTGATTAAGCCTCTAACTTTAATTACTTTGTTATAAATATAAACCTAGAAGCCAGAGGTGAGAAGTAACTAAGTACATTTACTCAAGTACTGTATCTCTACTTTAAGATTTTTACTAGTAACAGAGTATTTTTACACTGTGGTTTTGCTACTTTTACTGAGGTAAATGAATACTTCTTCCACCACTGTCCTTTTCTATCAAATCAATATTATTAGTTGCCTTACAGGCTATTATTACATGTGATTATTGCTATTACACCATTTTGTTGACATTTAAGTGTAATTTATACTGTTAATTTTTCTAAGCCAAAATAAATGATTACCATATGACTAGAATCAGTGTGCTAAGCAAAGGCAAATATCCTCCAGCATGGGTTTGTACCTCTAAAACCATAGTATCGAAGAGGGCCAGCACTGCACAGATGTGGTTTCACTTCCTGTAAACTGGGCCACCAACTTGGCAAGGCATTGGAATTAACACAAATTGGCACTGCTGTGGGTGGGAAGCCAGTGAGTGATGATGTTCAGGTTTTTACACTAACCAGTTTGGAGGAAGGGAACTAGATGAGTGTTAAAGGTAGGGGAAGCTTCAGATTACAGCTTATTAAGTTCTTGTGCTGGACGTGTGCTATTAGAGAGGCAGAAAGTGTGTGGAGGTTCGGGCAGTGGGTGAGCAGTGAGAAGTGTATCTGAGTTTCATACAGAAAAAAGTCATGTGCCATAACAGGCCTGACCTTATTGTTTGCTTTTCTTAAAAGAGTAACCAGCATCTTTGCCTAACCTTAACCATGCCATTGCTGCCATGCGTACTGTATGTTCCCATTGAACATTACAAAATGTTCACTGCCAACACATCAGTGTGATGTTGAATGTTGTCTGGGGTTCTGCAGAATCAGCCTAATAACAAAGTTCAGTCTGGCAATAGGAATAAAATATACAGGTTGCTGTAAGCTGACTTATAAAAAACTCACATCAGCATATACCTTAGATAGACAAGCTGTGTCAGCAGAAAATGACTCACTCACCGCTGCTATTATATAATCCCTCCCACCCTAAAATCAATAGCAGAGTGATGATGACATGAAACAAAATGGCAGTTCAGTCTGATTATCACTGCGCTCAGAGCAGGTTATTGTTCACCATCACACAGGCCTGGATACAGCTCAGCACTGAGAAACAGCGGTGTTAGCACAGAGGGAACAGGCACGGCTCAGTGCTGGAAAAAGGCTACTCAGTCTGTTTTTCATAAACTTTAGTTCTTATTGATTACTCAGCATGGAGCTTGTGGGATGTGTGCAGTCTTCTTGTTTTCAGTCTGAAAATGAATCATTATCAAGAGAGGGAGAGTCAGAGCCCAGTGAGCAGCAGAGCAAAGGGAGACTATTAGTAGTGAAACTGCACTGGGACTCTGACCAGGCAGGAGGTTGCAGACCTAGAGTCTGCTCTGCACGTTATCTGTCAAAACCTCTATTAGGAAAGAAAAATATTCTAATAAAAGGCTTTTCTTAGCAAGGCCTAACTTTGTATTGTACTTGCCTCAGGTGGACAGACTCATGAAGACGTCTATCCCAGCGCGGCACTGTGGAGCGCTGTTTGAAGCTGGGGAAGGCTGCAGTTCTGCTGACAGGGGTGACCCTCTAACAAAGCAGATCAATGGAGCAGAGGGATGGACTGAGGCAGTTATCAGCCTCGCTGACACCCAGGCCTCTTTAGCCCTGGACCATGCTGTGCAGTCTGGCCTGGCTTTGAGAAGCTTTCTGTGCCATGACTTTTAACAAAACAAATTGTTTTCTGACCGGACTTTTCGACTGTATTAAACAGCATACAGCTGCTGAAGGGTCTCTGTTCCAGGCAGGAGCAGAAATAATGCAGTGATAAAGTGTGTCCTCTTAGTCAGTACAAATACACACCTGCTTTACCAGTCTGAATCTCCACATTCTGGCTGAAGCGTCCGCAGCCTGCTGATGTTCTGGCTCGGACCTGGAAAATGTACTTGGTGCCCGGCTTCAGCCCGGACACTCGGGCGCTGGTATTTTTAGACTTCATAGTGGAGTAACTGTGTTCTTCATTATCCTGTAAGGCAAACAGTCATGTTTACAGATTAGGTTTAGGGAAACTGGCATGTTGATGTCCCTACTGTGTGTCCCCATGAAAACACAAGCTCTGTGGTTCCATATGGACACATTACAGATAGTGGTTTATAATAATATAACATAATTAACATAAAGTAACGTAACGTGTAAATTTACTACATTTCATAATATGCCCCATAATTGTTTAGTGCTGGTGATACTGTATTTAAGGAGTATTAACCCACTGCACATTAGTGAGTAGAAGTGGCCAGTATTACTAAGTATACAGTGGGAACATATACAATAAATATGAGCCATCTGAGTTCTGCTGTTCAAACCACTTACAGTATACTGAGCTGTTTCTTTAATATCTCCAGTTGTGTTACTGCAGGTCATTGTGCATAATACTGCAAGTTTATGAACATGCCATCTTTATAGCAATATTGTTTTTTATATAATTTTTACAACAATGACAAGGCCATGAACAATAAAGTGCCATGATTCATAAGATATTTAATTTCCTGGATTAGCCAGAAAAACAGTCTCTCAGTGGCTCAATAAACAGTTTCTCACTTGATTTTTCAGAAAGCTTTATTAATTCCCAGAGGGGAAACAATTTTGGAAGCTCATGAAGGACACACACTGTTTTCTAACACTAACACACAAACTAACGCATATTCCAAAAGGACCTGGTGTATGCAGTGAGTGGATGTAATGACCACCAGCATTTTACCAACTACTCAAAGCCTGTGTATGCCACTTTTTACCAATCTAGGCCATTTGTCTCAAGACAAAAATGAAATATTCTAAAAGTTTCAGTTTATTTGCATTTTCCATGAAAAGCCCAAATGTAAAACTGATAGAGGCTCCACTGCTGTAAAACCACAGCCACACCACTGGGTCAACAGTCCAGAACAAAGGCACTGTTTTCTTCAGTTTGAGCAAACTGAAGTGTCCAGCTGTTTTAGGAAGAGCTGTTAATATACAATACAGTATATTGTAACCCATTTTTTAATAGTTATGTCTTCTGTTGGAACCAGTAGATTCGGGGTTGGGAGTCAGAGACAGGACAGGGAAGTCTAAAAGTAGTGAGAGCTTGACTATGATAGTGGCAGCTTTGGTCTTTTCATGAGATTTGTTAAGAATATGAAAGCTAGAGAATAACAACCAGACTTACCCTGTAAAAATCACACCAGATCTGCCATTTATAAAGTGCTTTACCAACACTGCACTTTAACTATAAATTAGTTGAAGCCTGTGCTGTGCATTGTTATCATATCTGCCAGTCAGACGTAACTAACAGACAATTACTTCAAACATCTTTTATCTGCTATGAGATTGGGTGCCTTGGACAAATTATTGCTTCATTGATGATGCATCATTTGTTCTAATGAAAATTGTCAAGCTTATTACGCCTACCTGCCATTGTTTTTATGAACATATTCATTAAAACATTTGATGTTTTGAAGAAATACTTTTGAAGAAGTCTTGATTAGTCACAGTTCATCATCATCATCATTGCTAGTATCCTCGCCAGCTTGCTGTAGCATCTTTGCAAACTTAATTCAGAGATAGTTTATCAATGTGGATGTAAAACAAGTTCAGCAATAACAGGAGGTGCAAGGTGCATGCAAACAGCAGAATAAGTGAATCATTCATGTGTTCTTAGAAAGGATACGAGCCTAATTATGAAAAAGCGCTGGTACAGAAATAAGAGCCTTTTTTTGTCTTCATTATCATCCTCAGTGTACTGCTGCTGCACCACCCTTGCTGTGAGTCATTGTTTAGTACAGGACTATAGGAACCTTAAGGAAGCACATTGCTGACTTGTCCACTTGAAATCCCCCACAGGCGTCTCACCCCCTTGAGCGAGGCCGGATTAAGACACCAGCACAAGAGACAAGCTAATCCTTCACCATCTTGCTTGTTTGGCTATGAGACTGCCGGCTCCCAGGCCGATCCCTCCCAAACACACATTCACACATTCACACATTCGCAGCAATTAGCTCGTCGCAAGACTTACGTGCCCGCCAGTGCCTCTTGCTGTCACTGTCACTTTCACTAAGTTGGAATCTACAGTGTCTCTTCCTTTTTCTTGCTCTCCCGCTCTCGACTCCCATTTCCTTTCAATTAGCCAAGCTGTCAGCAGGATCTTTCTCTTGGATTAAGTTATCCTGAGTCTATCCAACGATCACTACTCTGCATTCACAATAGCTTGACTCAACTTAGCCCTTTGAAGACAATAGGCTTATGTTCTCCAGGTGGTGAGGACAGTGTCACTTTCCCCCTCATAAACTGACTGAATAGTTTCATGTTAGCTGGTTTTGGAAAATAAACTGAATATGTTGACACAACCTTAATACAAATGACTACAGTATTTGGTTTTGGGCTCTGAAAATGCCATTCTTGAGTGGTATAATTCAGCAGTTGGGTGAGAGTACCTTCTCGTAGTATTTGATGTCATACTCCAGAATTACTCCGTTGGGCTGGTTGGGTTCATGCCACAGCAGAGTCACGCTGTTCTGACTGGTGTTCTCCTGGCGGATGGCTAACACTTCAGATGGGGCTGCACAGGAAACAGAAGAAATTACTGCTTTGCCAGTTCAATGTGTGATTCCTCAATGACCACCACACACACCAAGGTAATGAGATTACCCTGCAGTAAACAGCTGTTAACACAGGAACTGCATTTCCTGAAACACATTCAGACCAGATGATGAAATGAGAAGGAACTTCACAGGTCCCAACTCTTGCACTTGCAGAGACTCATTTATTGTAAAGTGACATTAACAGCTACTTCAGTTGCTGTTGGTTTCAAGAGATCTTTGGCAAGTTTGAATCATTCTGATGGAATTTACTTGTGGTTTCAGGAACCCCGAGTCCTCAAAACACACTGTCCATCATTGCCTGCCAGAATCAACACTTTGACACACCTGGTACAAAAATATTTTTGTTTAGTGAGCTGTTGTGGTTATCACATAAAGCCTAGTTGCACAGCTAGAAGATGTTTACTTTTAGCTCTGTTTTGGTATTCAGCTAATGTTAAAGGGAAATACATGTGTTAAACGTGCCACTATGTTCACCAGCTAGTTATTAACCTTGTCTGTCTGCTACTTGGTGCAGGGCAGCTAGTGTACAGTTAGTTCATTAGAGTCTTTCAGGTGAAAATGAAATTGCTGCCTGCTGGTGCTGGAGACAAGGTTGCTGAGAGCAGAAAGGGAAGGATAGTTGTTTGGTTAAAGCATACACGAGAACAGTGGACCAAGTTCCATGTATTATAGACTGAATCTTTAACAGTTCAAATATGAACACAATTATCATAGTGAATTGACTATAGCGAATAAGCAGTGGCATTAACTGAATTGAGTTCTCCTCACTGGTGACTGAGAGCACAGATGTCAGCTCAGCTGTGGTTCACAGTATGTTACTTCCTCATTAAAACACCTATCAGAAGTCAGCAAAAGCCACACAATCATAATCAGATAATTCAGCTGTAATTAATAAGGTGCTGAGCTATTAACCTTATGTGAAGTGCTGCTATATGGTAGTTTTGTGCTAAAATGAACAAAACCACTAGCAACAGACTGACTCTACTACTGAACTGAAAACGTGGCTGTACAGTAGGATGATGTATTCACTTACAGACCTTATTGAACAACTTCTAAATCTTGAGCTGAAATGAATGAAATGCTTCGAATCAGCACAGTGATCTGTGATTTTCACCTTTCAACCAACACTTTATTTGGACTTCCTCCCTAAGATGCTTTGCAGTGCCTGAAAATTGTTCCTTCCCCTGGATCATGGCCTTCATACAGTGTACAGTTTTTTCACTCTGACTGTCCATGCTGTAAATTTGTTGTGTTGATCTATTCTCTACAGACGACATCTATTGCATATCTGGAAGACAGATCCCTCTACTGTTACTCTTCCTGAGGTTTTTTCCATTTTTTAACCATTAAGGGATTTTCTTTGGCTGTTTCCTTACCTGATTCAGAGGTCAAAGAACAGAGAGTGTCATATGCTGTACAGATTATAAAGCCATTTGAGGTTAATTTGTGATTTGTGATATAGAGTTATGTAAGTAAAAACTGACTGGCTATTAGAATGCAGCACAATAGTAATAGCAAACATATTTTACGTGACCACAAGAGGTTGAGAGGAAGATAGAGTCATTTGAGCCATTTATCAAACAATCAGTACTGTGGCGTCCTTCCGCTTCCTGGATATCATCATCACCCAGGACCAACACTTCCTACTCCCACCACCCCCTCACCTTTTATTTCCAGTTGTATATTTTTTAACCAATTTGCACCACATTACCAACACAAATTCCTTGTATGTGAAACCTACTCCACAATAATCGAGTTTCTGATTCTGATCTTTCTGTAGGCAGTCTCATGTATTCAGCATTTAATCCAATGAAGAAGGAGACAAGTGAAAGGTAGTCCAATATTGGAACAGCTGTAGAAATAATATTAGTGTTTTCCAAGTTTGTGAAACTGAAAAAAGTTCAACTTCAGTGCAGGTACTGTACCATTAACCAGTGATCAATAACCAATACAGCTGTTTACTGGAACCCTACTCAGAGCAGTATTTGGTCTGTTTATGATGTCATGTGAAGCACGGAAGAGTCAGAGCTGGACCTGAGTACTGTCTGCTGACAGTGGCAGCTACAAGACCTCATAGAAACCAAACATGTGCCACACACCCTGTTTTCAATACCTGCACAAAATGTTGTTGAAACAGCACATTTCTTTCAAAGCTTGTTATTTTGGCACTTTTGCAAAATTTGACAGTAAGAGAGAGACAACCAGGAGAGGAGATAAAGATGTGTTATCACACTGAAACTAGATTCAAAGTCAAAATGATATGGCTACAAGTAAGCCACCAACCTGCTCAGAGTTTCTCTTTTATTTCTTTTTGTGACATTTCTCTTTTTTTGGATAATTCACAATGAGTGGCTCTAGGTCACATTTAAACCCTGCACATCACAGTTAAACTCCATGAATCTGCTTCACCTGAGCCATTGTGAGCATTTTTCCACTATAGGATCTGATGATCAAAAATCTTAATTTTGCCTTAACTGAGCTAAGTTAACTTGAACTTTTAGTCCATCGGTCTGCTTTTCATTTCAAATGGCTTTTTGCAGACTAGAATGTTTCAGATAACTGTTGTTGAAAAAAGTAATAACCACACCTCAGTGGGATGCTATCATTTTCAAATGCTGCTTAGTAAGTGAAACAGCTGTGGGACAGACAAGAATGGAAAAAGTGGTCTGAATATTGATTTTCTTTAACTTTACACTTAATGACTTTCAAGCTTCAGTAATGTAATGGAAGGGCCCCGGACTCATTAGGAGGCCAACAGATTGGAGCAGGGAGTTGGTGAGTCTGGTAGCAGAGCAGTTTCCAGCCCTCGACACAGGTCGGCTCCTCAAACAAAAGACAGGGAGGCGGTGTTGAAGTCTCACATGAGAACAGCGGAAGCGAGTTGTGGATAAGTTGCTATGGCGAACTTGTTATCAAATGCTTACTGACGCATCCAGAAGATGGAGCAACTTTATTATTTGGAGTTGAGTTTTGTCCACCTGACAAATGCATTCACTTTCTTTTAGCTTTGTTCTGGCTTCTACAAACCACTGAGAGAAATATCTGGATCTCTATCTAATAAGTATTCCACTGTGTTCACCACCTAGCCTTCAGCACGTCTGTCTGCTGTTTGGTGTGGAGCAGGTAGTGTGCAGTGTGTCTTTAGAGTATTTTCTCAGAAAGTCAGAAACAGCACTATGAGATCAGTGAGAGTGAACCAAAACAGTGAAGTTGTGAGCACGAGAAGCTAAACAGTGAGCTGAAACTCATTATGAGGCTGAGTTCACATGGGGTTCACTCTGTTGTCCAATCATGTACATGCAAATATGCCTTCCAGGTGGGTTACTTTGTAATGTAAATATTATATTTCTGCGGCTTACCTCAAGACTGTCACAGACAAAGATACTCTGTGTGTGTGTGTTTCATTGCGATAACTCTCCAGAATTGCACAGTCCTGCCTGAGAGAATTAAATAAAACCATTCCTTGGACTCCCCAGATCATGTTTCGTGTCTCACTGGTACAACACCATCAGCGCAGCCTCCCTGTGTTTTTATGCAGAGCAAATCTCTGTCTGAATACGACCTAAAGCTCTGTAAAGCTGAGGGGAGCTGCAGATTCATCACATAATCCTCTGTGGGCTCATCACCTTGAGCAACTCCTTTCATATTGTTATATTGTTTTCATGTTGTCATTTGATACATCGTAATCATAAAAATAATAATGAAAAATACACACAGAGAATCACAGTATTGCCTGTATACGGATGTATACATCCTTGCAGTATTTAGCTAAACATGTGATACCTTAGCAAAGAAGCTGTTGACTTCCTATCCACTGAGAGTTGCTGGAATTTTAACAACTTTAACAAACAGTGTAAACAAAAGCAGATTTGGTGACTGTGCATACACTGTGTGAGGCCAACGTGTGACATGTGACAAAGCCTTCATTATGAGAATTGTATGTCGCTGTTCGAGCCCTACCTGCCTGGTTTGTTGTGATGTTGACCAAGACATAAGGTGTTGGCTCATTGCTCAGGTGTGTTACCGCATTCATGGCCAGGATGCGGAAGGAGTAGTTGGTGTGGGCCACCAGGTTGAGCACCGTCACCCAGGGCTCCGTCAGCCCAGTCTGGCGAGGGATGAATCGAACTACTGCAGTGCCCATACGCTCCACCATCCCTCCTCCACCAGCCCCGATGCTCATCCCTCCACCCGTCTTCCCTCCACCAGCAGTTCCCGGGGAGGATGCACAGTCCTCACAGGGCCCTCCTTCCCCTGAGCATTTCTGACACAACACATTGTACTGCAGGTCACTGCGACCTCCAGTATCCAGAGGGCGGTCCCACTCTAAATTCACCGAAGTCCCATTGACTGAAGAGATGACGTTTACTGGAGCAGATGGAGGGCCTGGATAGAAGAAAGGTGGAGGTCTGAGGTCATTGACAGGTTTGATCAGTATCTGAAGAGGTAAATTGGATTTTTTGAAGTATAGATAAGTTTGGTATATCACTGCATAGTTGCTGTGTGTTGCACAAATGTGTTTGTGTACATACACCATTTTGAGATGCTCTTGCCGGTGGGATTAGGTCGTCTTGTGTATTGTGTGTTTGTGCTTACGGGAGCATGGAGCTGCTGGTGGGTCATCTACTGCTCTATAGTAGCTGGAGTCACAGGGGCAGAAAAGGGCGGCTCTGGTCTCTGAGTGGCTGTGTTGAGGACATTTACCACACAAGCCATCACCTGCTGCTGGCTTATAAAAACCCACCTCACAGTATAGATAAGTTTGGTATATCACTCCATAGTTGCTGTGTGTTGCACAAATGTGTTTGTGTACATACACCATTTTGAGATGCTCTTGCCGGTAGGATTAGGTCGTCTTGTGTACTGTGTGTTTGTGCTTACGGGAGCATGGAGCTGCTGGTGGGTCATCTACTGCTCTATAGTAGCTGGAGTCACAGGGGCAGAAAAGGGCGGCTCTGGTCTCTGAGTGGCTGTGTTGAGGACTTTTACCACACAAGCCATCACCTGCTGCTGGCTTATAGAAACCCACCTCACAGGCTGCAGAGAGAGAGAGAGAGAGAGTGAGAGAATAAATAAAGTAAATAGAGAACTTGCAGCAAAGGGCTGTGCACCTCCATAATCACTTAGACCATAATAAAATTTTGAGAGAGTGCAGCTAGAAATGCATGACTCACACTCGTATAGCAAGCTGTGCATATCAACGCTGCTTCAACCTTTTCAAAACTGTGTCATCGCCTCACGAGCATTCATATTAGGACATTACCCCCCTGCCCCTGGCCTCCTCCAAATCTATGTATAATTACAGGCCTTGTAACCGTAGAGACCGTGGAGCAGGGGAGATGAAAGTCATACTTCTCTCTACTCAGATTCAGGTTGAAAAGGCTCTGCACTGTTGATACTCCCAGTGAGACCATCAGAATCTAGACTGTGTTACAGTCTCATCCAGCTCCTCTGATACATATTCACTTTTAACTCTGCACTGATTAATAATGGAGGGGGCTCTGATAAATATATTCTCTTTCCAGGCGGTTAATAGGGTTCTGCTCTGGTAAATGGGACAGGGGTAAACCTCACATACACTCACTGCAGCAGACACCAGCGTGCTCGTGTTTGCTCTTCCTCACACAGTAATATATGTATGCTTCCCCACAATGCTGTGTGTTGGTTTACAGATGCAGTGTTTTCCTAACCTTTCCTTCTTAAAGACCATTTTAGACGCTTAGACTTCAAAGGTGCTGAGAACCATGAAACCCAATAATCAACAAGAGTGGAATTATAACAAAGTGAATAGTTAAAATGTTTTCGTGATTACTGTCTGAGACATTTTTAGGTCTGGTTAAAAAGGAATAAAATGTTCCCATGCTTGTACCTGAAAAGTACACGTACACAAAAACACACACATATAATGGATGTTCAATTAAACTGTGTGCATAGATTTTAGAATTTCTTACATAATAATGTTTAATTCCACAGATTTTGCGCCTATTTTATTTATAGTACCTACTGCAGTTAACGTTCTTGGCTGCGGTTTTGAATAAGGTAACTATTTACTGCAAGTGTGCAAAGGTTCATGTTATCCATGAAAGCCCCGTGCCCACTGAGTGGAGGAGTTGCTACTTTAAAAACTAGGACATGAGCTCTCACTGGCTTCTACCAATTGCTTTTACTGATATGTGTAGAGGTACCACTGCCTGGAGTCAGACCCTGATGTCTCTGCCAGTCAGAGGTCATCCTATGTTATACACAACTACATTTGGACAGACATAAATAATTTGAATGGAAAAACAAAAACAAAAAACAAACAAACCTCCAGTTGTGTAGTGTTCTGTGACAACTGAATCAAGCCAAATTTAAAAGAGAAAACATTATATAGTAAAAAAAAAACTGATAAAAGGAAACTGGCATATATTCCTATTAAAAGCACTGAAATATTATTATCTTTATGCAATGTGTCCATACACTGACAGTATAAAGACAGTAAAATATGTCTAAGCCATTGCTATACCTGTGAAAATGATGTTTTGGCACCGTGCTGTTTTACACCTCTCCACACCTCCTGTGGTCAGGGATCCCTGTTACAGTTTTTCTTTGGGATCTGACACAAATGGAGGCAACCGCAAGCTTGCAGACATAAAATCCAGACAATGGGCCGAGAGACACAATCAGTGTCTGCATGATTGACAAATTCTCTTCCATACACTATACAAAAGTTTGAGGTCTCCTTCATTTTATACAGTACATATACTGTATATCTTTAGCATTTCTATTTAGAAATGTATTTTCTTATGAAAGCTTTGGAAACTTCAGTGAACAGACTTTCACTATACAGACTGTTTTATATGAAGAGTTTGTTGGAAAGGCTGTTTTCATTTTCTTCAGCTGACTGTTGATGGTTTATGGTAATTAACTTGTATCTGAGTCAGTGATGTGCACATACTAATAACTGAAGACTTCACAGTCCAGTATGCAAACATAGAAATTATGACAATCAAAATAAACATGGTCATTTTTCATTTTAATTAAATTTTACACTCATAGATCTACATGTACAAGTTAGACATTAACACCCTAGTGCTTCTACAGCAATACCTTTTCTGTATATTCAGATTTCATCATTTAATCATGTTTCATTTACCATATGCAACTCAGCCCAGCTCTGAGCACCCCTGCTGTTTCTATTTTCTTTTCCTCTCAGCTGATGAGACCTGCTTTCATTAGGAGTCACATAGCAGCTTGTAGATGCAACTACATCAATGCATCAATTAGAGGATTTACATTATCAATGTTTACAAAAGAGTGGCATAAAGTTTTTATGAAAAACCAAGGACAAAGGCTGTAAAGGATGAACACCTCAGCTGAAAATGTTTGTGATTAAGAAGGAACATAGATGAACAATGCGACACTCACATAAGAGAATAGAACGGGACAAAGGAGACCACTACATGTACCAGCTACTCAATCTAAAAACTGTTTTGTGCATGTGGCTAATCTAATAACATTTTAACTGACGCTATGGAAACTTGAAATATCCTTTTCATTTGAATGACAGCAATCCAAGTGTTTGAGAGTGCTCAGAGTTTTGGAACCATCAAAACATGATGGACTATAGAGTTTGGAGAGTAATCAGTAGGTGTAATGTGAGGAGGAGCTGGAAGCAGAAAACGATAGCAACACGGCTTCCTTCCTTTAGTGAGCCAGGAATCCTGCGCTTGGATAAAAAGGTCTGGATTTTATTTACAGGCATCAGGTTGACATGCCTACAAACCTAAAGAGACCTACAGTGCTTGCAGTGCACATTTCAGCTAAGAGACCATCCAAGAGTTCTGCCAAAAATGTATTCTGAAGCCTGACTGCTCATTATTTATCCTGGGATATCAATGGCAAGCTGGGGTCACTTTGTGCAGTGAGTAACCACTGTCTTAAAAGAAAGCTCCCTCTATAAAATACAATCCTCAACTGACTGTTGATAGTGTTAGCACTGGTGTCAGCAGAACAGATAGGAACCCTTTTTTTCTGGCTTGGTAGCTGTCATGTATTAATCTACAGCAGTTTCTTCTACAGCTTTTAGACAGAATGTTCAGAGCAAAGCCTGTCCCCTCGTCCTTGTAGTCTTTTTGTTCAGCCCCACACTGGTACTGGGGGACCCGTGGATGTATTAGGAGCACCACCTGGGGACTTTCCAAGGACCAGCTTGCATGTCATGCTCTGATAGTCAGGTCACAAAAATGAAGCAAATAAAGTAAAGAAAGTACAGAACTGCTAAGTTTATTCAGAACTCATTTGTAAAGTTTTCAAAAGTATTCAATCAAACTGGCAGCACAGTGACATGCATGCTGTGAAGATACAAACCGATTATAAAATACACATGCTAGAGAGCAACTGCAGAGGCCTGTACCACAAAGTGAGTTCAACTTATTCAGGCTCTCTTGGGGTTATCTAGCTTCTCTGAGCATAACATTGGCCGTCCTGGATAACCGGTACTATGAAGCCGGTTGTCAACTGGCTCTGTTAAATCTGGGTTTTCTTATCAGGCTACAAACGCGTTCATGTGAAAGAGGCAGAGTTGTTAATCAGAAGTGACAGCAGCAACACCATGGCTGAAGTAGGCCACTGAAAATAATATGAGATGTAGCAGTGATACCTGCAGGGAAACTCGTTTATAGCTAAAGCAAAACGTGATGTTACGGCAGATCAACTGCAAACAACAGTCACATAACATAGAATAGAATAAGAAACTAGAGAAACTATAAAAATAATTTTCTAATTATTGACTAAGAATATACCATACATTAGCACAGTACTATTTTAAGTACTTATTCAGTGAGTATTTTTTCTCCTTTGTCTGATGACAAAGAAACTGTTGTCAAAAATCTGATAGTTTCTGCTGCCAGAGTGGAGAGGAGAGGACACTGTGGAGGAGCTACGCCTCAAGCCAGATATTCATTTATAATCACGGGAAATATTTAACAAAGTATGGATTGTTTTTTTAATAAAAGACCATTATCACAGCCTCTTAATAATAACCAGTCATATATTGACACTTCAAATACAGAGAAGCTATGGACAGAGCATTATGTTATGTTTGTTATAAAAATGACAGATGCTAATTTTACTGCTTCTCATGTGCACTTTGGTGGCTTTTTTAATAATGGTGATTTTTCTTATTGCTGCATGGAGCAGGCCACCCCACATCACTGACATGAACTTAAATGGCAGTTCACTACAGGCTGGGATGAGTTTCCTATAAACTGACTGAGATGCAGCCTTGTTTTAATTAGAAATATAAAAATCTAAGTAAATACAAATACAACAGCTTTGTTTTAATTTCTACACTTCTATGACATTAATGTAAAATTTTGAATGGCAGTGCCAGAGTATCAGCTGCAGGTGTATTGTTAAGGCTATAGTTTGCACTGGTTTTGAACTTGACTGCATTATAGTGTGAGGTGTTTCAACACAGTCTAGTCCAGTAGACCACCACTGCCACCAGGTAGGACCTCTTGTCTTTATTTTTAATAACCCCACCCTCGTTGTTTTTTTAAATTAAATATATAGAGTTGAATAAATCCGCACTACACACCCTTGTGCACACAATCAAATTCAAACCCCCCACAGTATGTGCCTTTTGTAATTGTCCTGTTTTCATTGTCGTATCTTCTATGCTCCATGCACTGTCCTGTAATCATGCTGTTTTGTTTTTTCCTCTTAAATTGTTACATGCTGATGCTAAACTAGCTATTTTAACACATGACATATTTGTAGTGGTTTGTTAACAAATGAAGCCAGATTAAAGCAAACAGTGTATAACTCCTTGTTAATTAGCTGAATCACATATATTTGTGTTACAATATTCATTTACCTTTATTATTTTATTAATACATTTTACAATGGTTGTATGCGCTGTAGAGTTGTTTTGTCTGTGTCGATTAACATGCACAGAATTAAGATCAATAAGTGAGAAAGGGTCTTTTTGTGTAATTTTTTTTTTTGAAAATCCATAGTGGAAAAATATAATAATAACGCAGATTATTTTTACA